AAAATCCTTGTGAATTTGACAGTCGAGGGTATTTAAAGGTCATTTCTGGGTCCATCCGACACTAAGCCAGTACAAAACGATTGAAGAGCTATGGGATGGGGAGATTTGAGCCCTATTCAATGATTTAATTTGTTAAAAAAAAAATGATTGGGACCTTGAAGTTTGGATTTTCTTGCATAAGAACTATGTATTTTTCTTACTTAATCAAATGACTTGGTGCTCGAAGAATTTGAGCCATACCAAACTTAACAACTCGAAAAGCACCAGAATAAGGGACAAATGACAATGGGGAAGGTCGAATCCCGCAGTTTAGTACCCACACCTTCGCAAGATTCTTGGGGAAAAATGCATCAAACTATTCACATTTTTGCAAGTACCTATACAAACTAATTGAGGTTTTCAATTTAGCTAGTCAACCAAGATTTGCCCCATCTTTTTACACGTCACCTATAGCTAGTTTCATGAGAGCAATTTGGTCCTCGTGCAAAATTGGGATACTTTGTGTAGTTGGTAAAATGGATAACTACCGATTAGTAGTGTACATATCGTGTTTTTGCCTTTTGAGAAAATTCCATCCACACTGATACAATCGAACGCTTTGTATAGTAGGATGCGTATGTCTGGAAAAAATATTATCTATGCCGATAAGGTCGAACGCTTTGTAAGTCGAATGGTTAAAAAGTAAAAATTGTGCGGTTAATGTGGTTATGATGTGCCATCATTAAAATAGTTCGATTTGACCATGTCTTGACCTAAGTTAAGTGCTAATAGGTATTGAAACCAGTGTCAGATTTTAATTCAAACAAATATTATTGTTGAAATGGAAAATCCATATGTCATACTATTATCTTTCATTGATGTTTTTGTTACAAAGGATTTTCTCTAATCAAGTTATTGACAAGCCACAGGTAATTCAATATCCAATAGATATATTTGGTATGATGAGAATGAGTTTGAAATTGTAATTATACTGAAAATAACATGATGATGATGTGATGAATACAATAAGTATAAAAAAAAATTAAAGAAAAAAAAAACAATCGATAAATTTATGTGATACTCTTACAAATCCAGGAAGGATTCTTATGATGCATGAAACATATATTTATGGAATATACGTGGTACTGTTTTTTCATTGCATGATGTTTTGTTCGTTATGGTTGGTGTTATGTTTCATTGATTTGCTTTACATGTTTAATGCGACAACATGGATGTGGTATTTAAAAGAATAATAACTTTTTCCTTCATTAAAAATTTGTCATGTTCATCTATACTTATATGAAAGGATCCTATTTACTACAAACTAGTACAGAGCTCGTGCGATGCACGAGGTGCACAATTTTAAAACTATTTATCCAGGCTTATAATTATATACATGAATAAAGAAAAATATACGGGATATATATAGTACGTGACCCGTGCGAAGCACGAGATATATTTATTTGGAGAATATTATATTATAAGATGCAATATTCAATAAAAGTTTATAATACGCAAAAAAATTGTACAATGTTCAATAAAAGTTTTATAATATTCAAGTGGAGTCTTAAAGTCTCTTGTACATTAAGACTACTGACAAAATAATATTTTTATCAATGAGTTTCCTTTCCTTGTAGTCAAATTGTGAATGTGATTTGAGGAGTACAACAAATCGATATATAGCTGGCTTGCTTTTTTCATTGTAGTTTTTTTTCCTTTTTTTTATAATGAATTTAAAGATATTCTAAAATATAGAAAAAATTAATTTTTTTTATTACAATTAGGAATTTTACTAAATATAGACTCTCAATCTATGGTGTTAATCAGCGTTTAAGTCTAAAAAATTAAAAAAATTTACCTCTTTTAATCAACGTTTAAGTTTAAAAAATTAGAAATTTTTACCTCTTTTAATCAACGTTTAAGTCTAAAAAACAATAGAGTTATTATAAGTTTTTTTCTACATCTTTTAAAACATTAAATATGAGCATGTTATGGCTAACTTGTAAAATTATTAATATATTATTTCACTAAAACATTTATACTAATAAAAATTTAATTTTAGCATATAAATTTATCTCTTGATATAAGAGAAAGTAACAGTTTTACTTATTGTTGTTCACCATATAATATTTAATTATTATTTTATTATATAATAAAAAAAATATTGTTAAATAGTGTAGTAGAATTGTTATAAAATTATATGATTTTTATTTTTTTTTACAATATGGATTTAATATTTTTTTATGATTTGATAATATAAACAAATCTATACTTAACTTTGACAAATAAAACAAATAAATACTTTAGTAAGTATTTAATGTATATACTAAATAGGAATATATTTGGTATAATCAAAT